GAGGTCTGGAGAGGTTAAAACAACTTGCCCAAATCCACACGATGGTAGAAAGAGAGCAAAGAAGACACAGCAGGGAAGCGTTGTGTGGAGATTTTAAAGGGACTTCTCATGCTTACCAAGTCTTCATTTCACCTTATTTCCCTTCAGAAACATGGCTCATTTAGCTAAAATTTGCAGTGCTACCCCTGAATTTGTCTATTACAATCTGCGCAATTTGACAAAACGATTGAGAACAAGTCATGTTGAAATTAAGTTCAACAACATCGAGGGGATTTTTTGTCATGAAACAGCACATTAAAATTACCTTCTTTGGTTTGGCTTTGGTATGTACCAAACCAAAGAAGGGTAATTTAAATGTGCTGTTTCATGACAAAATGACTAATGAGATTATTCCTATTATTATTTGTCATTATCAAGCAGTGTTTGCCACAGGTGTTGCTAGCCCTTCCTCTACCCCAGAGCCTTCCTGAGCCCTCACTCTCTCTCAGCCTCTCCCTGTATCCCTGTTTCACCATTACTGATTCCCACCTGAATTAGATGAACCTGAAGCCTTCCCCCAGCCATAATCCTCATGGAGCTCTAACACGGTTGATTATTACTTACCCAGTGGCTTTGGAGGCCGTGTCTCCTAAATTAGAAGAGCTTCACAAAATAAAGCTCTCCCTGCTATACGATTAAAGGTTCAGAATGGTCAGCCAAGCTCAGACCAGATCTTGAGAGGTGTGCCATGGGGCACAAGACAATGAAAGCCTCCCTGGGAAAACCACCACCCTCACCTGCTCTCATCCCAGGCTGGGGTGAGCCTTATCTTAACCCTTTATGTTCCTGGCAAGAGCAAAATATATTCAGCTTTCTACATAGTTAAGTTTTAAGAAAAATTCTCTAGCATAAAAACTGCACTATTCCCACAAGGCGAAAAGTCAGTTGAGCCAAGAACGGCACCTAATTCTAACTGTAAAGTCAATGGCATAATTAGCTCAGTAAGAAAAATTATTGAGAACGGTTTTTCTGACTTTCTGTCTCAAAATTATTGAAGAATAATAGAAGAAATAGCAGACAAGGAGACTCCTTGTTTTTTTTTCCTAGTGCATTTACCAGTGGTATTCATAGTGAATTCCAAACACCACTAGTAGAAAGGTGACTTAACCAGCGAGAGAGGAAATAAAATTTTCAAACATACTGACGGGATAACAGAATAGAGGGGAGAAAAGTCTCATACAAACTGAGCTCTTTACTAAGCCGCTTCCTTTGCTTCCTTTCTTTCAATCGTTCACATCTCCTTACAGCACAGCAAACCCTAGATTTCCTGGAGGCAGAGCCCTCTCCACTATACTTCCTCCTCCGCAGAGTAACACTCCATTCCAGGCAGCCAAAAGCTGGCAGGCAAGGCATGGGGTCGTTTTGTTTGGTTTTGGCTTTTTCTGGAAGAAGTGGAGCCAGCTCTGTCTTTCACTGAATGGAACTCAGTGAGAAGTCGCGTTGCAACCCTACAGGAATGTGATGGCTGCTGGGAGATGGAGTCAGAGCACCAGGTCGCTAGGACTCTGGGACTTCACAGCAGATGAGACCAGTTGTTCACAAGAATAAGAACCCACCATGCACATGGTATCAACGCACAGCTGTCAGCAAACAGATCTCTAAGAATGTAAAGTTTAGAGTTCAAGCACATCCTCAAAGATACTGTTTTGTTGTCTTTGGGGTTTGGGGTTTTTTTTTTGCGACAGAGTCTTACTCTGTTGCTCTGGGTAGAGCGCTGCTACCGCATCTATAGCTCACAGCAACCTCAAACTCTTGGGCTTGAGCAACCCTCTTGCCTCCGCCTCCCGAGTAGCTGGAATTACAGATGTGTACCATGATACCCAGCTAGTATTTCTAGTGAGTCCAGGTCTCACGCTCACGCTGGTCTCAAACTCCTGAGCTCAAGCAACCCACCGGTCTTAGCCTCCCTTAGAGTGCTAGGAATACAGGCACGAGCCATTGTACCCAGCCAAAGATACTGTATTTTTAAGTGAAAACAAGAAAGTGATACACCATAGTTCATCCATTCACTCATCAAAAATTATGACTCAAAAGGAACCTCAAGTACATATGATGAACTTTACCTCCCTTATTTCTAGAGTTCCCTGAACCCAAAATCGAAAAGGGCTGCTACTCCCCCCACCCCTGTGCCCGTTTATTGAGATGCTCTTCAGATGTGACAGCCCAGGTTGAATCACTCTTTCCACTCTGATCACATAACATAAATCTAATGCCTTATTTGAGTATCTGAGTCACCTTGCCTTAACTTCCAATTGGCTTAACACCCCTACTTCTCACTCTCTCTCTTAGTCATCATTGTCTCTCCCACGATATCTGACACAGGGCCTAGCTCAGTTCATCTGTGAATGGCATTCACAGACCACATTCACTTACCTCACTGAACGTGGCACACCCCGACACCAGGCTTTATTATCCACATTTTGTAGATGAGAAACCTATGACTTTATTCAGTTAA